GTCACCAAGATCACCTGGTCTTGTGGGTGGGTGGGCTGTAGAGTTTGCAAAGCAAAAAGCCAGGTTAAAGCTATTGCACCTTCTCAGGAACCCGGACCCCTATCTGCAATCCAGCCCCAGTCTCCAGGCAACAGTTTCCCATGCTCGGGCCTCTGGGATTTAAGCCTCTGTAGTTTCTTACCCAAGGTGGGCCAAGTGGATGTTCTCATAGACCTGGACTTCAGGTTTGAAGTGAGGAATCGAGGGTTCTGGGGAAAAGAAGCCGTATGATATGTGGAAGTCACCAGATAACTCAGGGATGTGTTCCTTGCCACCCCTCCCCGAGAGCAGACAGGCCAGAGCCCAGCCCTCTGCCTCACACCCACGAGGCATCTCTGGGGAAAGACTCACCTCTGTCCGGAGACCTCTGGGCCCTCCGCCTCCAGAGCACGATGCTGAGGACGATGATGGTGACTCCTTGGCCCGCTATGAACAACAGCATCAGTACCCGGGGCACATCCCAGCTCGGGACAGAGGCACAAACCGTGGGAGAAGGTTCTGTGGAAGCTGCCACAACAGTAAGACAAGAATGACAGGGAGTGAGGGGGGCTGTGGCTGCTGGAAGGAAGTAGAATCATCCTGTGATGTCACCTACAAAAAGGTCTGGTCTCCCGTCTTGAGCAGCCAGTGGAGAGGCAGCCCTGAGTGAGACGTGGCTTCCCCCACAGTCCAGTGGGATTTTACTACAGAAAATACTCAGGAGGCCCCTACCTCCAGCATACCTGCCCTCTGACTTTGCTTACGGACTCCAGGAGCCAACATCAGAGAGAGTGGCCCCAGTTCCCGTCACACAGGGACAGCTGATTCCAGGGCACATCCTAGCCATAACTTCCCTCACAAAAATTTACATTTTTCAAGAAACAGTAGAGCGTTGCAGCTGGGCACCATGATGTATGCCTGTAATGCCTGCACCTGGGAGGTGGATATGAAAGGATAAGGGGCTAAGGTCGTCTGCACAGGGGGCTGGAGGCCTGCCTGGGCTACATGAAAGCCTGTCTCAAAGCAAAAGAAACAGGGGAAAGTTCAAGGCCAACCTGGTGTACGTAGTGACTTTCAGGCCAACCAGGTCTCCAAGGTGAGATACTACCATAAAAATAAAAAACAAAAAACAAAAAGACAGGGGCTGGAGAGATGGCTCAGTGGTTACCATGCTTGCCACACAAGTGTGAGGATGGGAGTTTGAATCCCCAGAACCCATGTAAATACTGGGTGGGCATGGTAGCCCACCTGCGATTCCAGCCTCTGAAGGCAGAGGCGGGGGTCTCTGGAGCAAGCTGGCTAGTGAGACCAGCCTTATCAACCAGTCTGGGTTTGACTGAGAGACACTGCTCCATTGAATAAGATGGAAGAGCAACAGATTCCAGACATGGACCTCAGGCCGCACCTGCCTGCACACCCGTGTACATGGGTACACACATGTATGTGTGCCCACACATATGCAAAGATGCATACAGGCACGCATCTCACACACATGAAAATGGGAAAGAAAAACAAAAAGAGCGCTTTGCAGCTTCCATCTCTTCAGCTCCTTATCCACCCACTCACGTATTCATCCTCTAGGCCTCACCAAGACCCTTCTCTCTTGGAACAACGGCCTTTTGCTCCTCTCTCTGACTTACAAATGGGTTATTCTACATCTGTAACATTCATTCTCTGAATAATGGCCTTCTATTTTGTATAACAATATGCACTTTCTGCTTCTGTCTTCCCGGTCAATAGGCCATTACTGACCGTATATGGGACCCCTTCTACAGAAGTCAGCATCCCCAAAACCCCTACGCACTTCCTCTCTGCCATGGAAGGGTCCACAGAAGTCATAGGTTAGTCTGTTTCTTTCGTTTGCTTTGGAGACAGGGTCTCATGCAGTCCAGACTGGCCTTGAACTCCTGCCTCGGCCTCCCGAGTCCTGGGACTGCAGGTGTGTACCACCATGCTTGGCTCATATACTGGCCTATTTCTTGTCTTTCTTTTTTGGGCGGTGCGGGGAGAGGGGGTAGGGCCCCTCTATATAGCCCTGGTTGGCCTGAAATTTGCTATGTAGACCAGGCTGGCCTTCAACTCAAACATTGACAGCCTCTGCCTCCTGAGAGCTAGGATTAAAGGCACAGGCCTATGTCTTTTATTTTGATGCTTTTTTTTTTTTAAAGAAGCAGGGTCACATGGAGTGCTGGCCGGCTTTGAACTCACTGTAGAGCCAAGGCTGTCCTCAAACTTCTGATACTACTTCTACCTCCCAAGTGCTAGGAGGCATGTGACACCATGCCCTGCTTAGATCAGCCTATTTCTTCGTGTGTGTGTGTGTGTGTGTGTGTGTGTGTGTGTGTGTGTGTGTGTGTGTGTGTGTGTTGGGGTTACAAGCATGCATTACCATGAAATGGCTTTTTTTATGTGGCTTCTGAGTTCAAACTCGGATTCTAATGTTTGTGTTACATCACTTTAGTTAGCAGAGCTCTCTCATCACCCATAGACTAATCCCTTTCTAAACAGTGGTGTAGCCCTCCAAAGCAGGTCCTGGTCTGGCTTGTTTCTCCAGGAAGTTGGTTTAATCAACGCTCCTTTGTTGTTGTTGTTGTTTTCCGAGACAGGGTTTCTCTGTGTAGCTTTGGAGCCTGTCCTGGATCTCACTCTGTAGCCCAGGCTGGCCTCTAACTCACAGAGATCTGCCTGCCTCTGCCTCTCGAGTGCTGGGATTAAAGGCGTTCGCCCACCACCGCCTGGCTAATCAACCCTTCCTTATGGTGGATTTGGTCAATGAAGTGGGAAAAAAAGGCTTCTCCTACAGGGAAGTGACCCTCAGCCTGGCCTGATTTGCCTCCTTTTCCAACCTTGAGAGATGTGCCAGAGAGAACCCCTTTCTCCCTCCTTCATTTTACCTGCCAGACTAAAGCTGAATCTTTTGTTCTGAGGCATAAGGCACCGGATGTTCCTCGGCCTGCGGCCCCTGGTCTCAGGAAGCCCCTCTCCAGGACACACCAATAGCAGGGCAGCCCCGTCTCCCCAAAAGTACTGAGCGTGTCCTCTCACGGGATTCCTCCCCTCTAGCCAGGTCACAGAGTCCAGACGCCTGGCGGGGACCACAGAGCACAGGAGGGCAGAGCAGGAGGGGCCATCTGGAGACTTCACGGAGAACTGGGAGCCTGGCAAGAGACCGGGGGGGGGGGGGGCACCTCAGTTTCTTGTGTGGTCTTCCCTAGTCTCCAGAGTCCAGAGAGGTTTTCGCACCCCACCTCACCTTTGAGCACGGAGACATCGTACACCCTCCAGTTCTGGTACTTGTGGTTCTGATCCATCACAGTGCACCAGTACCGCCCAGCATCTTCATCCCTGGACCCCTCCAGCAATAAGGAATAGTTCCCAAGAGGTTTGAACCTTGAATCATTTTCAGGTTTCCCCAGATCTGAGACTGGCCTGTCCACTTGGATCTGGGTTACCAAGATGGTGGAGGAGCCTTCTGCAGGGCTGCGGAACCAGGTTAGGAGCTGGCCCCCACGTAGGGAGGGTGGTGAAGGGCATGGCAGCTCCACTGACTCCCCCGAGACCACATAGACGGTCTGGATGCTGTCTGTGGAGAAACGGTGATGTCACTAGTGCTGCCCATGCCTCCAGCAAGGCCCCGCTTTGCCTC